GTCAGGGTAATTTGGATCAAAATAATTATGACCCAGAAAAACCTTCACGTAAAAAAGTTCAAAAAAACAAAAACAGATTAATCTTGCCCTATCATATAACTTTAATAATTTATGCACAACAGTTTGTATAGCGCTTTGAAACTAGAGTTTCGTTGATCTAGGAAATGGTAATCTTGCAATTTTTGCTACCTGTTTGCTCACGTGCGTATTCAAATTGGGGAAGAGCTCCTTTTTTGTGCGTGCGTGTTCATTCAACATGTTATGGTATTACTGAGTGTGCTTATAAAAAGTAAGTTATAATTAAATTTTAATAATGAGTTATAAGTAAAATTGGAAAATAGTATTATATTCACTTTCAAAAAGACACGAGAAGGATCAAGAATTGCAAGGGTTTCTTTTTTGTTTTTTTTGGTCAATAGAATTGCAACGGTTTTGCATTGACTAAAGTATGGTGGCGCCTGTTTGGCACAAACTGTATGGTTTTTGAACGGCTCCTTTGGTTCTATAAAAGGTGTTTTTAGAGCATTTATTTTTTCCATATATGTTCTTATTAGCAAAGGTTACAAGAAATAAAAATTAATATGATATTAAAACGTAGTGTAATTAATGAAAATGATATTGAAACTTGATTGCGCTTTATGACAATTTTAATATTTTGACTCGTAGCTAGATAAAACAAGTTTAGGACTAAAGTCTTAATGCCCCGTATTGCGTACGAGGAATATTATTAATTATATACTCCTCTGGTTCTTAATATAAGATCCATTTAACTAATTTGATTAGATTAAAGAAGTTAGGTAAGTTAGTTAATTATAAGAAAAGTGACACATTTTTTCTAAAACACCATAATCATCTTTCTTAATACCTCCTCTCCCTCTTCTACTTAATTATGGTTGAGGAAGTATCTATAGGGGTAATTTAGAGAAAATTGATAAATATGAAAAATGGGTCTTATATTTAGGACCAAAACCAACTCAAAAATTGAGTCCTATATTAAGGACCGGAGGAGTATATATATAACATTAGAATCGTTTTTGGTGCATTCAAAAAGTACCATCCCGTAGGAACAGAGATGTCTTGCGTTTATTATCGAGACGAGATCTAAGAACAGCATCACCTCACACTCCAAGCCCGCTCCAAATGGTGGGGGCGGGCCATACCTGAAAATGATCAACCATATTCAGATGTTTAGTCTTCCATTATAAAAAAGGCAAGACACATTAACTAAAAGAGTCTAAATTATTGCCAATAACATAGCTGAGGAAGAGTAGTGACAAGTGATAATGAATACCTGCAAGAATCAATGTACGTGGAAATTGCCTTTGTCTTGACATCAGTTCCGCAAGCCGCTGCACGTTCTTCCAAGAACTTTGGCCAATGGATACGCCGAGCTGCTGAAATGATCTCCTCACCTAAAACAAGTTATAACGCCAGAGGCTCAAGTTAACTAGCAATCACCCAAAACCCAGCTTCGTCGAAGCTATGTAGCCTATACAAGCTAAAATAACGTGCAAGACAGATTGTCATACCAAGGCCATAACAAATGACTCAGCTTACCTCGAATAAAGATATCAAATGAATTACTGTAGAGCGGATTGTCATCGTAAGGCATAGTAACGGTGAAGGATGTAGAACTGCGTGCCATACGGTAAATATTTTTAAAATGATGCCCCATCGCAGAAATCAAATAAAACATCAGATAAAAAGATTAAAATAGACAGAAACAAATGAAAACAGAATTACTTCTCCAAAACTAATTGGCCAGGTTTCCTTTCGGATGCAGTATTCAAGTCACCAAGAGGGTCAACGCCCACACCAGCATCGCCTGCAAATTCAAATGACAGGTTGTATTGGGTTACTGATCACAATACATGCATACTGCATATACATTTCCTCTTCTATTTGTCTCTTCATTAACTGTCATAACATCCAAGCAGCTGAACCAGTGATAGGTAATTTAATATTTCTCCATGTACAAGATACACATCAAACTGCCAATTAGCTGGGGACATAAACACATCTGAGTTACCAAGGTGAGGAGAATCTCACAATTGCTATCATGCATATTATGTTCTCTCTGAGCAAATATGATCTTTAAATATCAGCCTTGATTATGTACAGAAGTGGCACGAGAGTGCACGTCATTGATTTAGAGGGTCAAGGAAGGCAAGAACAAATAAACTGAGAATATGGATGTTTAAAGTGGTGCCTCATATGCACGCATCAGCCCCCTTAAACAAGTCAAGGAGCAAAGCGATTGACTCAACTACATGCAATCCACTTCAGCATCATCCTCCAGTTCAAGCTCCAACAAATACGAACATCTGCTATCTGGATTTTAAAAAAAAAAAAAAAAAAACTTTGGAGAACGAGGGTTCTGCTAAAATATAATTTTCAAGGGTTGAGCAAACCTCATCTATCCCATTACAATTTCTATATAGTCATTAGTGTCTAAAAGAATATGAAAAGCATACCTTGAGCATCTGAACCCCTTCTTCAAATGTAAGCCGCAAAGTCTGCGGCAAATACTGCACATTCACAAGACTATCATCAGATCAAAGATAATGGCAACCGCTGACTGATCTAATTAGCAGTATTACACAGTAATATCTTATGTAAACGATGTAATGAATCACTGCATCATATGTTGCTGTAAATTTATTATGCATGTTGACACGTGATGCACAAATACCTTTAAAGGTTCAAATGGGTATTGCCTTCCCACAGCTTCTAGCTCCTTCTGACAGTTATTGTTTACACTATGAAACATGGCCACAAATAGCCTATCAACTATGTCCAAAACCTGCCCAAGAAATGGTATATTAGACTATACCTCTCTAACAATTTGCTTATTATATTTTCCCACCAAACCTACCTCAAAATAATCCTTAATCTCCATTTCAACACCAAGACCTGTGAACTCACACAGATGTCTATGAGTGAAGGAATCTTCCACTCTAAAAACAGGACCAATCTCAAAAACACGGCCAAAATCACTACACATTGACGTTTGCTTTTGTAGCTGAGGCGACTGGGCAAGACACGCAGGCTGCCCCTTGTAATCTAGTCCAATGACAGCAGCACCTCCTTCACGCAGGTATAATGTTTTTCGCCGATGTGTTGCGATTACTTAGACATTCTAATTTTTTTTAACAATATACTATATGCGATAAATTACACTATTCTGATTCTTAATATAAGAACTAGCTGCTTAATTTGAATGGATTAGAAAAATTAGTTAAGTTAACTATTTGAAATAAATAAGTATTGTCTTGCCTAAAATATCCTTACCAATCAAGTATATTGATTAGAATTACCATTATTACAAGGATTATCTTGAAAAAAATAGATAAATATGAGAGACAAAATATATTAAGATATTATATTTATGACCAAAATAAAAATCAAAGAAGTAGTATATTGCAAATTTTGAATTCTGTATTCTGTCTTATATTTTAAATACTCACAATATATATATATATATATATATATAATTGAATGTTTTTTGAACTATATGTATGCACATGCAGAGAGAAATAAGTGTTTGGTTTGGGAAGAACCAGGTGAGGAGAGGTTTTAATTGCTTCAATTTAAAATAATGGGATTATAAATATTTAATAAAAATGTGATATAAAATAAAAAAAACAATGAAAATAAATTAAAAATTTTAAATATCATTTTAGAAAACATTAATTCATAGCCGAATAAAAGGTTTAATGCATGCAGATGACCATAATAGCTATCTCTTTAAGATGTTAAATTCGTAAATTGATCGAGGGCACCCTTTGTTGATTTTCATTTTCTTGATTTTTTAACACGATTTATAGGATTATTATTTTTTTATAAGTACAAAATATTCCTATTAGAAATTCTGTTGCTGTCTAACACCGTCAAGCACTAAATGTCTTTAGGCTAGATTCAAATATTGATTTTTCATGCTGTGATGCACTATATTTTTCCACTGGACCCAATCTCAATCTCATTAATATTTTTTAAGATTCCTTCTAATAGAGACTAAGATGCTTTTGTCCCTTGCACGCCCTCTTTACGTTACATCTCCAAATTTGATTCTCTCTCCCTTTTTCCTCCTCTTTCCTACCATAATCTAAATATTATTGGGTTAAAATAAAAAATATATAGTGGGACAGCTAATTCTTATTACTACATAACCTAGAGGACATTACACATGATATAGATCGTGTCTTTTAATATAATATATTACCCATTGAGGTCTACCTAATACTACCTCCGGTCCTAATTATAAAAACTAGTTGACTAATTTGAGAAGATTAAGGAAAGAAGTTAAGCTAGTTATTTGTTATAAATAGATGTTGCATTTCCTAAAATATTCTTGCTAATCAAGTGTATTGGTTCAAACTATCATTGTTAGAAGAACTATCTTGAAAAAAATATATAAATATTAACGACAAAGTGGATTGGAGTTTTATATTTAGAACTAAAATAAAAGTCAAATGAATTCTTATATTAAGGACTGGAGGTGGTGTTTGACAGGCAGTGTTGGACTTTGACGAGCTCAAATTAAGTAATTAACACGGCGCAGGAAAATGACAATTACTGATTGGGGAAAAAAAAGAAGCAGATAATTCACTTAAGAATGAAATTGTCTCCCGGGGAACATATCCATCCAGCAATTAAACAGGCCACCCGCTGAAGCAAGCTGCTGGATTTCCTGGGCTTATAACAAGGCCCACCAGTATAATAGGCCTCAGTCAGATAAGTTAGAACCAAAATCATTGTGTCCCAGAAAAACCATGCATGGCCCAAAAAAAACAGAACAACTGGTTAGTTCAGCCGTTTTGCGAGCTGCCAATTAATTTTTCCAGTCGTATAGTTAAATTCATGCGCAAAATCCGTATAATATTCCTTCTCCTTTGCTATGTGTTAAAAGAGACCATTTCTTTCGCATTAGAAATCTTACTGTTGGCTTTTGAGACGAGAATCTACACAAGCATGTATATGAACATGAATACCAACTATGGTACAAGAACAAATAAACTTTCTATAATTGTATAACTTGAGAGATCGAGGATGATATAAAAGAGAGTGAGAGTGTAAGACTATAAAAAAGCTTGTGTTCCTCTCAACCTCTCTCCTACTGCAGAATACTGGGATCCAATTCAAAACCCCTTATTAATTATACATGGGGTGGGGTCTTTGTATGTAAATGGCGAATATAATATTAGTATAATATATATACACACATACAAAACCATTTTAAGATGAAATGGGAGGTCAAGCGGCAGCTTTGCGTAATCGTTTGTGAAGTAGAGAACGTGTGTTGTTCCATAGCTTGAGAGCTTCAGATTCGTCATTGGCCAAAGATGAACAGCTACTCTCATTGCAGTCTAAGAAGTACTTCCCACTCATTCCTTCTATTTCTGGGCTCAACGCTACATAACAGGTCGTTGCTGCTCCCTGCAATCACCTACTTTGTATTATATAATGTTTATCTTTCAATTTTCTGGGCCAACAAGTTTACTTTCTATTTGTTTTACAAACCTGAGAAGTCGATTTGAGTAACTTGGATGCTATGAAAAACAAGGAATCTGCATGCGTGGAAGATTACATTGGGTAAGTTCATCAGTTTTGGACACAATTCAAATGAATTGCACTTTTTTGCAGAAAATTAAGAACCTGTTATGAGACTCTTGTGAGCTCTCATGATTCCAGTCTTCACAATGCCCGGATGGACCACGTTGATAGTTACTCTTGCATTTCTTGCCTGCGTGTAGTGTCAAACATTTCATTTTCAAACATCATAGCTTTTGGTTTATCTACTACCCAACTAAAAGCTGAGCTTCTACCTCACGAATAATTGATCGATATGAGTTAGAAAGACTTGGTTTTGATTTCTTCTCTTACCTTTAGCTGTTTGGCCATTTCCCTGGCATGCAAAATACTGGACAGTTTTGACAGGGCATACGCATGCGTGCCATTATAGCTGCATTATTGTTGTTGAAAAGGAAAAAGTTAAGCGTCGCAGCTAACCAAATTCCATCAAAATGGGGGATAATTTTGCAGATAATTAAGTTCCTGTGGTGATTACTTTCTTCCTTTAATCATGTCCTTGAATTGAAAAGCTTCTCTTTTGACCCAACTATGGATCATTGAAGACACGTTTATGATTCTTCCTTCAATGCCCGTCTTCTCTGCTGTTTCTGTCATTCTCTCCAATAGCATTTCCGTTAACAAGAAATGTCCTGCATCAAAACAAATTATCGAAAGTTATTTTCCGTTTATTTGGTGCATAATCACCTCAAAAGTTATCGACTTTCTTTATTTGAGTTCTTTTTTCTCTGCTAATTTTCACTTTAGAAACGGGCCACTGAGAGATACTATCGCATGCCCAGTGCTGGGAATTTGTGGACCTTAATAAAGGTTAAATCATTGTCCCCCATCTTATATGAAACCTAAAGAGAAAAGTAAACCAACTTTTTCTTTCTCTCTTTCTTTTAAGGGAGTGCCTAATAAAACAAAGGCTACTGATCAGTTGATCCACACTTGAAGGCTTCAAATCGCTATTAATATTGCACAGTGTTCTTGTATTTACTTTAAGGGCTTTGACTAATTATGCATTTGCTTTAATCTTAATTTACGCTGTCCCCACTTAGAACATAAAAGAAAAAGATAACATCGACCTCTTACGGAAGCACTCCAGCCATAGGATTGTAAATGAAAGAATTGTGTGTACGAACTGATCCTTTTTTCCCTTTCACCCAAGGCATTTGAGCAGCATTGAGATTCTTATTTTCTGGGGAGTCATTAATCCAAAGGACGTAAAACTTAACTATGAAAAGACCAGTGAATAGTACCACCCACACACGCAAGCGTGGTGACTGGGGCCCTTTTGTTAGATCAATTCAATGATTCTCTTGACTTTGTTTCCGTGTGCGTGTGCGTGTGCGTTAAGGATTGAAAAGAGGAGTTGGTAACATCTGGACTCATATGCTGCTGAATCGGTGATTGCCAAACAAGTAGCAGTGTGCTTTAAATTTCAAGTCAATAGACAGACATGAAAAAGAGACAAGATCTCTGAGAAAGACAACTATACCTAGGTAATTTGTTGCAAATGTCATCTCAATTTTCTCTTCGGAGAACTCCAAGTTCTGTGAGTATATCCCAGCATTGTTTCTGCAGAATTATTGATTTGTTCATCAAGAACTCTTTCAGAATGGTAAATATGGGGGTGCGTGTGTGTGTGTGTGTAACCATGAACGTAATAAAGAGAGATGATGAGAAAGTACGCACATGAGGATGTTAAGAGGGAGTTGGAGAGCCAAGAAGTCGGAACAAAATCTCTGGACGGAAGCGAAAGAGCTGAGATCAATCTCAAGCAATATAACCTCAGCATTTGGACTCTCCTTCAGGATATTCTCTCTCACTTCCCTCGCCTTCTTCATGTTCCTCGCACCGATCACTACCCTCACTCCTCTCTTCGCCAACACTCTTGCCGTTTCAGCCCCAATACCAGAAGTCGCCCCTTCAAATATTATTTCAAATCAACACTATATTAATTAAGGTATATATCACACGTGCTTTCATGTATATTTAAGAATATATATATATATATATATATCTGTCATCTGTGCATATATTACGGTGGGAGAAAAGTTCCTGCGTCGGTCGCAGATGAGACGAAGACGATCGATATCTAATCTCGACCAATGAGAGAAAGTACGCATGTACAAGAGACAAAACCATATCTTTCTGTGCGGCCAAAAGAATCACCACATATATACAATCATACTGAGAAAGAGCTTGAAACTTAATTAATGTCAAAACTGGCTAATAATTCAGCAGATGATAATTCGAGCAACAATCCATTAGAATCCACATAAAGAAAGCTGATGAAAAAATGGATGATAAGTCGTTGAGTATGATTAGAAGGTGTAAAACTGCTAGAGAGAAGGTATGAGTGGGATTGAATTACCAGTAATGAGAGCAGTGAGACGAGAAGGAAGCGTTGAAGAACAGTGTTCAGTGACTTGCTCAGCTGTGGAATTAGAGCCAAAACCACTTGGGCCAGCGATTCCTGCTAAGTACCTTATTGTCGCCTTCATGGCTCCTTACTTTGCCTGCTTTTTTGAAACCTTTAATCAGAGGAAAGATAGAGAGAGAGAGAGAGAGAGAGAGCATTTGGTTTGTGAGACTGCAAAGCAAAACTATCCAAAGTTATATACCCAAACTGAGCGCATAAACACTGTAGCTATCATTTAGCCCTTGGACTAACCTAACCTGATAGTTTTAACCAATTAACGAAGTTGTTTTGTCGTCATCGAGCTCTTCTCACACTGGTTGAGACCACCTATTTCTCATGGTCCACAAATTATGGGATTTAAACCGACCATCTGAGCTTCATATTTACTGTTACCTTATTTTTCTAGATTTTTACATCTGCCAATATGTTCCTCTTTTTTTTTTGGGTTCTTTTTTGTGTCTTGATTTCTCATGATTACAGGCTGTCTTTACTAACTGGCCTACTGCATTTTTTGGTGAGCTGAACACACGGTTATATTTCTTTTTCTTGTTAAAATTTCCAGGTGCATATATAATTATGCTTCTGTACTACGAAAAAAGTGCATAATAATGGTTAATTCAGAGCGAAAAAGAATCATTATATGAAGATTACCACTGAAGTTAAACCCAAGTTCTTACGTGTACATGATGCTTGACGGTAGTGGCCTTCCTTTTTCAATTTGCTTTTGCTTTCCACAAAACTGGTTCTCTGTGTGAAAATATAAATGTGGTTTATCAGATGTGACTTCTTGCGCTTTCATTGTTAATAAAAAATATTATCATCTTACAACCAAAATCTTTGAAATAACCCCTACAACGTGTTTGTGTGTGGCTTGATTAGTTAGTACAACCATACACACACACGCGCGCACACACAATATAGAAGTCATCGTTTTATATATTTAAAAAATAAAACACGTGGTGGGGGGAATTCTATGGCTAGATTATATATAACGGAATGCCGAAACTTGAGGGAAAGAACAAATATATATATATATATATATATATATATTCCTCGCAGGATTTCATGTGATTACTGACCTGATGTTTGTGCATATAACTTGATCCTGATTTCTTGTTGAAAGTCGGCTTAATTAGGTTCTTCATTTCTCAACAAGCTAAGGTATTTTTGGGATTAACGTACGAAATTAGGATGTGTTAGGGTTTCATGATTGATGCACCAGTTGTAGGAGTATATAATGAATATGCTCCTAGTTTCTTGCTCAAAGGCGGCTTAATTTGATGATGTTTAATTTACGAATAAGGTTGCTTTAACTTTTTGGGATCAACGAAATCCAAATGCAATTAATTAATTAACCGGCAATTCTGGCAAAGTAGTGTAGCCCACTCGTTGACTTAATGAGATGACACTTGGCCACGTACGCCATTCCTTCATCTTCGCTAATATAATGTTTAGCTTAGTGGCAGTGAGATGGACCATTGACCTGGCCATTCGGGGGCCACCATTAATTTGTATGGATGTTCTTGTTTTTGGGAAATTAAAGGGAAAAAAGGGGTTTAAATGATTATTTTAATTAAAAATTTAGATGAGGAGAGTCTGAAGTCTCATTATAATCACGAATGAAGATCCTAGTATCTATGTTGGTAGTGGGAATTTAAATTCCCATTCTTACAATTAAAGTAAAACATGATTGAATGACAACGTTGTTATTAATTGGATTAAGTTTTACTAGTTGTTAAGGATTACAAATATATAGGTGCGTATTTAGTGAAGTAGGGGGTGGCTAATTAAAGTATCCGGGGGCCATGCATGGGGTGATGAGTATGAATGTAGCCCGAACACGTGTGGTTCTAGAAATATGAATGATGATGGCATGCGATGTAAGTTTTGTGGATTTGAAATTTGGGGAGAGAGAGAAGGGAAGCGGTTAAAAGAGACAGAGACATGGGTGTTGCAGACAAAGATGCTTTTGGTGCGTGCATAGCCTGCCATTCGCCCTCTTTCTTTTGTCCCCATCCACATTTCATCTCTTCTTTCCTTCCTTTCCCGTCACCGTCTAAATTTGAATATCACTCACACACCCTATACTTGGAATTGATGCCTCATTTTTATTCATTATATCCATCCGTGTTATCGCCTCCCCTCTTTCATGCAACAGTCCGAGCTTTTCACAAACACACGCATACACGCGCATGCACACACGTATATGTATTAACATATACTTTCATCAAATATATGTATACAACTATACATACACTATCTCCAATACGTAATATAAAAACTAGTTAGGGATTCAATTTGATCTTAAATATAAGATTTTGATTCATTTTGTCACCCATAGTGTTATATTTTTTCTCCCAAATAGTCTCTATAGTGATTGTATATATTAAAAGTTTATCAAAAGATAATTTTGATGCATATGATTCATAAAGATATTTTAAAAAGATAACAAGATTAATTTTTAATTTTTATAAAGTGACTGTCCAACTCTTATATTTATTCTCGGGAATAGTATAAGGGGTCAAAGGAATTGAGAGCAGTAGAACGTCACAGTAGGTTTGTGCGTGTGAGGGTCCCATTGTGTTACCTAGCTCGGCGACACCTTCTCATCAACCTCCCACCGCCACTCACCCACCTTTCTCCTTCTCACTTCCCACGTCTTGTATCTTCTTCTTTCTTACTTCTTCCCATCATATATGAATGCATATATATATATATATGGTTTAGTGAGGGAGGGAGAAACATGCTTAAGCTTGTACCACACAAAAGGTCTTTGCACCCATTAAAGCTCGGAATTTTCAGAATTTATGGCATTCATTATATGGTGTCATTTCGTCTTCTACTCCCTTTTTTTTTTTTTTGTAAATTTAAGTTTCGTTGCCCCGATTGACTAATTAACCAAAAAAATCATGTGTTTTATCTTTTCCACCTTCTGTTCACCCACCACGTTATACTATTACATAGTGCAGATAAAGTACGCGAAATAGTGGCTCTTTTTAATTTGTTAGATGGGGAAAAAAACGGAAAACAAAAGCTTTATTTAATATTCTCGTGTAGCCAGAAATCTCATCTTACCAATGGGGGGTTGGATCTAATAGAAGGAGCTAGTCACTTACAACGTAACGAATCAAGATTCGAATCCCTGTAAGAAGAGGTACCTACATTTAGTACCTGACAGTGCCTCGAATAGGATTGCTTCTAATAAGAGAATACTTATATTTTAGCCGGAAAAAAAAAAAGAAATCTCATCTTGACTTCTCCCATCCCTAAGCAATTACCAGCACCTAACTAGTTGCACTATTAAAAGTTATACATCTAAATATCAAATTTTAAACCAAAGTAGATATCCGCATATTTATGAATTAGCCTCTGAAAAATACAGGTTCATGACGGAAACTGGTATGAGCATGGAGGGCCCTGGTGTCGCAACCATGTCCCCTGAATTAGCCAAAAAAATTCTACCCGGAGGGATGCCACATTAAACCACCAAAGCCGGTAAGAATGTGAATTTACCGACATGCCCTCCATTTTTTCTCCGCTCTTCAATCACGTCGCCTCCGTCCTGGGTCATCCATCCCACGCACGAAGCGAAAACTCATCATTACTTGGAAGAAAGGCAGTGGTTATTTGTGCTATTTTGATCCGTGCCGCTCACATGTGCCATACGCCAATCATATGGCGACACATGTGCGGCATCCTGGTGTGGGGACCCAGCCACACGAGCCAATCACGCCATAAGTGGGACTGTGGGGTCCAGCCGATGCTCGCTCGTTTACATTCTTTCGTTATAAAATTAATCCACACAAAAGATATCATTAAGCTCCAGATAATTTATATTATTAAGCAGTTGACAACAACCATCGTTTACCACTTCTCTTTAAAAAAAAAAAGAAAAAGAAAAGAAAAGAAAAAATCCCAACGTTTGTTGGGGACTATCTTTTGTGCGGTGAGATTTTGAAGAAAAGGTTGTTTGTCTCTATCTACACGTATAAAATGTAACCAAGAAGAAAAAGAAAACACAGTGGCACGCACGTAATCAAAGGGGTGGAATTGTTAAATGTGGGGTGTCATTTTTGTAGTGGATAGAAATAGAGAGAGAGAGAGAGGACTAGGAGCCGGGGTTGCTTGAAGAAAATGGAGCATCTATACCCCCGCAATAGCAACATGTGAATAAAATAATAATTAAAGAATAATTAACAATTAGTTGTTCAAAGCCATTATGATTACATGATGTGCGGGTTTGAAACATTTTGGGTGGTGGTGAAAGCAGTCGTGCGGAATCATCGAACAACATTATTCTAAGACAATATTATGTGTTTGCCCTTTGTTCGGATTGGGATCTTCTTCTCTCTCTGTTTTTTTTTTTTCTCTGGGTGTGAATGGTGCCTGTGGCGATCGCCATGGGCTTCATTCTTCATCTGTTTTGGAGATGCAGAACCAAGGCCATACATCGTTTTCATTGTTTAACAATATTTAGATCTCTTTCACAGATTTCTCCGCCGCCATGCCTATAAGCTGAATCTGAAAAGGGTGCAAGGCTGGGGGAATCTTTCTCGATTGTCGCTCTTTTGTTATGATATACTAGTAATGCCGATCATCAATACTTTAATTCATGCTTGGCTGTGATGGCACCAGGAGGCACAATAAACCTTTCTTATACCCACGGCTATCATTCTATTGAAAGTCAGCTGCTAACTAAATACTCCTTCAGTCTTTAATATAGGACCTAATTGTTGAGTTGGTTTTGGTCCTAAATATAAGACCCATTTACTATATTTATTAATTTTCTTTAAATTATCCCTATGGATACTCCTTTAACCATAATCAAGTAAAAGAGGGAGAATAGGTATTAAGAAAGATGATTATGGTGTTTTAGGAAAATTGTGTTAAATTTTTTATAATCAACTAACTTACCTAACTTCCTTAATCTAATCAAATTAGTTAAATGGGTCTTGTATCAAGGATTAAAGGAATATAAATATTTCTTTCAGTCAGTATTGAAATCTTGTCTTGACGCGTTATGGGATTCACCCATTCGGCTAGTCATTGGAATTATTAACAAGAAATTCACTTTAAAAAAAAAGGAGTAATACTTTCGGTCTGTGTTGGTTGTCTTCATAGACCTAATGAATAAGTAAAGCAGGAAAGAAACAACTAGGAACCTCATAATTGTACCCAAAAAAACCCCGAGGAACCTCATAAAAATTAACATCAAATGAAGAGCTCACAACAGCTTAAGTTTCCCCAACGGGGTTAGCCCAACAATGTACTTCCCCTGAACAGTGCCGAACGCCTCGGGGTTTTTTGAGCCCAATGTGATAGTTAGTGGCCCAATATAGGCTGGGCTTTCAAACCTCCGGTGATCCGTTGAAACCCTAACCTCATATTTGATCTCGCGGGGCCGATGTGCCCCCCCGTATCGACTATAAATTCCACCCCCGAACCCTAATCAGCCATCTTGCATCCCCAGCTCCCAGTTTTATGGCTGTATCGCGTCTGGAGCGGCCGAGTCGTAGCTGTGGCGGTGTGTTACACGTTGAGGAGTCTTCTCTCCCCATTTATTTGTTTGTTATATTCAGTCATTCGCGGTAGTCGTTTAGCGAGTTAGGTCTTCTGATGAACAAAAGAATGAATCCCCATGAGGAAGATCACCCAAATTGATAGGAAGTGCCGTATGACACTCCAAACAGCAGCGATTGCATCCCGATTCCCAATTTTCTCATCCGCCGATTTCATTCCCCATCCTGACTCCTTCCCCTCCGGGAACGGCGTCTTTTTGGGGTTTTTGAACGGCCGGGATCATTGTGACTTCGGTGACTCGCTGTGTGTGTGATTTGAAGCGGGACTCTGAGGGTTTTCTCGGTTAATTTTTTAGACATTTGATTTTATCTAAGTTAGGTCCAATGCCACGTCTCCGATAGCCATCTGAGCTGTGACCGGCGATGCTATGATTGGACCAAGAACAAGATTTTCGTTTCGCATGTTGATAGGAACCTGTGGATCCCCTTTTCAATGGATCCATGGAGCCGGTTTATGCGATTACATATATTCCTTCGGGTTATTTTTAATTTAATGGTCATTTTGGATATGAATGTCTTGAAGCCGATGAGGAATAAGTCAAATTTGGAATTACCGTCTGAACAATTTACCCTGATGTGAAATTTCTGGCTGACTGAGGCTTCGCACTGCAATCGTATTTTTCTGCTGGTCAAACATGTATTTTGATGGCGTCTCTCTCTCTCTCTATCTCGTATCATTTGCTGTCATCTTGGTTCGCTCCTCACCCCTATAATTATCATTTCTTGTTTTTCGAACATCGACGTTCCAATGTTTGCAATAAACTCTCCTTCCTGGCTCAGGGATCATCATACTCGGGGCATCTCATCCGCCTCTTCGGCCTTGCGTGGGTTCGGGAGCAGGCAGCAACTAAAATCTCAAAATCCAAAGAACAAAAAGCGATTGCAGAGGATTTACATGGTATCTATTTTTATGACCTTGAAAATAAAAAAATAAAAAAAACGCAGAACAAAACGGTACATACATAGAGTAATATACTAAAAACCTATCAATTAATTCACAAGTACCTATAAAACTGAAGTAATAAATGTGCCATAAATTTTAATATCATTTTAATTTGTATCCTCTTGTTATCCTCATTAAATGGACATGTACAGAAAAATATTTAATTTAATATATGCCATGATTTTATAAAAAGAACTAAATTTGTTCTTTAGAAGGAATTCTATCAAAAGGACTATAGGGAGTACATAACTACAGTGTAGATAATAAGCTGATTAATAGTTCTAATACTGGTCAGAATTTTTTTCTTTTAAAAAAAAGAAAAGTGAAATTGTGATGATAGGAGAACAATCGAAATATTTGTAATATAAAGTAACGAAATAGATTTTCGCCCACTCAGGCATGTTAATTGGTATTGTTAATAGCTTATCATAAATCGATTATTATGAGACTTGTTAAACTAAAGAACATTCTTACGTTGTCGCATAATGGTATTCATCACTTTTATGATGAAAAATGTTAATTTCCCAATCGTTGCATCCATTTCTTTGAGATGGCAAAAGGTTAAAAGACACCTGGGGAATCGGTTTTGGTACTTATTACTTTGATAAGCATAATAAATTTATCAGATATGTATATGGTTCATATTTTATTTAAATAGTCTGCATCTTCAAAATAATTATTTTAATATATATAGATCTAAAATAAGAACAATATCTTAATTATCATTCTTTTAAAAAATAATTTTTTTATTTAAAAATAATTAATTAAAGATTTTAAATCTGAACTATTTAAATACAGTTCAGACGTGATAAACTGCTAATTAAATCAAATAATCAGACCATGTTCATTTTCATAGCAATGGATTTGGGAAATGATTATTTAATATTCCAAAAGACGCAGGGCGGTCGCGTCCGCAGAAGCGGAACACTTGACTCACCATTCTTCGGTATTTCAACTCTGTCGAAACTCGAATGTACCTACCAGTCTTTTCCTTCCCTTTCTATCTCGAGGCCTCATTTGACTGGTGAAATGAAACACGGGGAAACAAAATACTCCTCCGCTCTAAGATCTCATTTGATTTTTTATTTGGTCCTAATTATAAGACCCAATCTATTTTGTCTTTTATATTTATGTATTTTTTCCAAGATAATCCTTCTAATGATGATAGTTTTAGTCAATATACTTAATTAGCAAGGATATTTTAAGAATGACAACACTTATTTATTATAAATAACCAACTTAACTTACTTCCTTAATCTCCTCAAATAAGTCAATTGGGTCTTATAATTAGGACCGGAGGAGTAGAAAGAAATTGAATGAAAAGAAAATGAGGGGTTAAACTGCAAAAAGTTAGATAAAAAAGATTAATAATACGAAGTAGTTATTATTAAATGCTCCTCCGATCCTTAATATATGACCTAATTGTTGAGTTGATTTTGGTTTTAAATATAATACCCATTTTTCTTATTTATTAATTTTCTCTAAATTATCCTTATAAATACTTCCTTACCCATAATCAAGTAGAAGAAAAAGAGCAAGACCTAACTTACCTAACTTTCTTAATTTAATTAAATTAGTTAAATAAGTCTTATATTAAGTATTAAGTAATGATTATAACAGCACAATAAACATTTCACGTTTCAATTGTTGTATGCTGGGAAGGAATTCCGCTGAGTTGTATCTAAACGGGTTCTTAATCTTTCCCTTGATGCTGTACTCAGCGCACATCAGTAGCTAGGAAAAATGAAATTTACTAATGTCATGGATTTGGACAAGCAAAAAGATAAAAAAAAGATTATATAATAATATTTCAATTATTTGAATTTGATTAAGTAATGACATAAAATGATTAAAAAACTGAAGATATTACCAACAATTGACAAATAAAATAAACAAATTTATAACATGTTATATTATCTATAAAATATCATTACTATGATTTTTTAAAAATTCACATAATATAATTTTGAAATTAAAAAAACGTTACTGTAAATAAATGAGATTGGTTGTTGGCAAAAAAAAAAAAAGACGATTGTTTTTGGGTTTTAGAGTAGAGCTGCAAGCAAACATTAGCTAAAATGACTTTGGTTTCGAACATATGCTGCGGAAGCCCAATAGTGTTGGATCTCTATATAAGTTTTATTGCCCTCGTTGGCCCAAAAAAGAAAACAGAGAGAGGTTTTATTGCGCGCTCCTGGAACCTCCTAAACTGTTCAGCGTCCTATTATATCTCTATTCTGCAGAGTTTTTTTGGACCTGACCTTTCCAGGTTCAGGCTTCTCTACTTTAATTGTTTTGGGTACAGATATGATAATAGATGAAACTCGAGACGTTGGCCCAAAAAAGGGGTGTAACTACAGACAAAGGGCCGATGACGAGGCCCAAATATATAGTGGTTGTCGCTCTCGCGGGACTCGTCGACCCGGTGCCGCCAAACTCGTTATTCGGCCTGGAGATTGTAGTTGGAGCTGCGTAACCGGTGTACTAACTTGCTGTAGAGTACGGCTATTTTCGAGATCCGATATTGTCTTCTTCACTGGCAAACGTACTCGCAGTGCAGCAGTTCTAGCTCGGTTTTCCCTTTTGATTTCTAGGGTTCTTTTTTTCTTGAAGTTCTTGCCATGTCTTCCCCTGCGCATTTCGATGATGTAAGTTCTTGATTTTTCTAGCCATTACTCTTTCTTGACCTTATTCGCTGTAGAACCTAAATTGTGTTTTTGCCAACACTAGGAATTTGATTTTGAAGGCGGATTATCTGGAAGGCATTCGGGTTAACTTTCTTTCTCTATCAATTGCTACTGTATTGCATGTTATTGAATAGCCTGAGTTTATCACTGTTCGGAAATATAGGTAATAAGAGGTCTTCGCCAGACTATGACGATGAAGATTATGACGGTGATCCTTTTTCATCGAAAAAGGTATTCCTTGGTCCTTCCTCCTCTATCCGAGTTTACTAATTTATGTAGTGTTGAATCTGTAATGCATTGCTTGGAGGTTGCTACTGTATGTGTGTGTTTTTTTTTAATTCGAATTTGAGCCATTTTTATTTCACATTTAGGCATGTGTAGTGGTGATATCGGTTCAATTTGGGAGTCATACTTACTCCTTTTTTGCACACACATGTGCGTTCATATGTGATATATATATATATATATATATATATATATATAACCAACTCGTAGATGCGCTATCTAGATGGTTGGGTTTCTTTATTTGCTTATGTATGGGTGAGGTGCATCGATAACATGTATATGATGAGCACAGCTTTTTATTTTTGTCCAGTTTAAGCTTAAAGGTTTGTTGTTCCCTATGCAGATTAAATCTAAAGCTGAAGAAGCTGCTCCTGGTGTAACAACAGGAATGATTTTGTCCCTTCGTGAGAGGTATTTCACATTATAATTGGTGTGAAATTCATGTTTCACTAACATTTCAGTGGTTAAGTTTATTCTGGGACTTATTTTTTGGCAGTCTTCAGAACTGTAAGGATACGCTTGCAACATGCCAAGTACGTTTTCCTTTTAAGAAGTGAGGCAATATGTTTTTCATTTTCTTGTTTTCTTGATTACCCCCTTTCATTTCCCCGCTTTTGTACGATTTAGTTTTTGTTGTTAAGAGAAGTGAACTTTAGTCATTTGATCTTTTTGTTGGATTTATGATCACTATTTGATACTCAATGTCTGTAGTCTTTGAATGGTAACACTAACCTTCCTTTAATAGGCTTGACTGACTTGCATTGCTGGTTCTCAGCAGTTTGTTGAAGCTCATATTCTCACCTTGGTTGAAGTTTGATGCATCATAATCATTTCTTAGGTTTCATTGTATCTTTTCCTTCTAACTTTTCCCGACCTTTGTGATGTTTTACAGAATGATCTTGAGGCTGCAAAAGCTGAGATTCAAAAGTGGCGTTCTTCTTTTGAAAATGAACCTTTTATACCTGGTGGGACCACTCCTGGTGAGTTTGTATTGGGTGCTTACTAAATGAGACGTGATTGTATTTCACATGCCCTTTAAAGCTTTGGCATACGGGACAATCTCTTTTTGGTATTTGTTTACTCCTTTTAATTGTGAACCTGAACAATCATTTCATCTTTTTTTCCTGCTTTAGAACCCAAATTGGTGATTAATTATCTTCAAACCTTAAAATCGTCTGAAGAGTCATTTAGAGAGCAGGTTAGGAGTCCAATCTTCCGATTTTTGCTTTGAAGAGATCTTCATTCATTGACATGGTTTCATCGAGACCCCTTACGTTTTGTTATCAGCTTGAGAAAGCAAAGAAAAAGGAAGCTGCATTCATCGTAACATTTGCAAAACGTGAACAAGAGATAGCAGAGTTGAAGGTAAAGTTTAGAAAAGGATTCGATTCTGCATGCTATTGACATTAGTCTTATCTAGATATTAATGCTCTTTTCTGCTTGCATTTGACCTATGTTGATAATTCATGTTCCTAATTTGTTTTTTTTCCTCCTTCTTGTTATACCTATCTAAACTTTGAACTTTTACAGTCTGCTGTCCGGGATCTAAAAGCTCAACTCAAGCCACCATCAATGCAGGTTGTATATGATTTGTACAGACACATTTTAGTATAGATATGTCAATTTGTCTGCTGATTAGTCATCTTTGTGAATTGATATGAGGAGTAAATTGTTATTGCTCTTTTCATGGATAATTTCGTGAGTGAAGTTAATCCTCAAACTTTTATTTCTTTTATAGTGGTTTTATTTTGCCTGGTATTTAACTTGCAGGCGAGAAGGTTGTTGCTAGATCCTGCTGTTCACGAAGAGTTCACACGTTTAAAGGTTTGTGATTTTAGTTGATACTACGTTGCCTCAAATTATGTCTGCTATCTCTCTGTCTCTGGAAAGGGGCAGAGGAAGTTTGAAGAGAACAATTTGTTCAAATATTTGATTGTTGATATAGCATAATGGTGCTGAGCACTCCATATAGCTGACCTCACTTAGTGAAATAAGTCTTTTTATTGTTGTTGTTGATGTTGTTGTTGTTGTTTGTCTCTGTCTCTCCTCCCTTGGATGTGGACACGCCTAAAAATGCCTAAAATTTAAATCTCAAAAAAATTTTGTCCTTGAAACATATTTTTCAAGTTCTACTACACAATTATCTCGTTGGCGTGCGGTGTTCTTCTGTTTACATGGTAGCATTTGTTAATCCCTTGCTATTAATGGTAAATTGTCAAGCTTCGTGGGCGTTATTATAAGAATACAATGTTTTGAACTTTTATTACATGTTCAATTGTTTCAAAAGATAAACTGTTTTCACTTCTTACATATTTGAACAATTTTTTGCTTTTGATGACAGAATTTAGTTGAGGAGAAGGACAAAAAGGTGAAGGAATTGCAAGATAACATAGCCGCTGTAAATTTTACTCCCCAGAGCAAGATGGGGAAGATGCTGATGGCTAAATGTAGAACGCTGCAGGAGGAAAATGAGGAAATTGGGAATCAGGCTTCTGAAGGAAAGGTGATGCTTCTTCTTGTCTCTGTTTTTTTTTTTTTTGGCCAATTATATTTGAATCTTGGACTTTCTTTTCCTGTTTCTTCCCATTCATTTATGTGTTCATTCAGTTCCAAAGATTTGGCTTTGGATAGGGCTCAATAGCGTCGTGGGATCTATGTAGCCAACTCTACTTAGTGGGATAAGGCTTTGTTATTGTAGTTGTTTTCTTTTCATTCGGTTGTTAGATGTGGTGGGAATAAAATACACCGTAGGTTATTTTCTGAAGTGAAATGAGATATATCTGAACTGCCTGGGTGCTATCACCAGTGCACGTTCAGCTTATTAGAATGTTGAGCGCATAATATTCTATTCCTAGAAGTAATGTGGCACAGAAGCTATGGGGACGCCATTATGCTATGTTGATTGTCTAATGCATCTTACTGTATTGATAAATTGACTGATATGATATCTTTTTCTCTCTTTGGGTCTCCAGATGCATGAATTAGCTCTGAAACTCGCATTGCAGAAATCCCAGAATGCTGAGCTCAGAAGTCAATTTGAAGGTGGGTTTGAACAAAATCTTGAACGACCATCTCAATGACAACTAATTTGCTGCCTCACTCACCTCATGTTTATGCATTTAATGCTTGAGTGCTTTTATAATCACTTGATTCTTTCCCTGTATAATGCATGGAATAAATATCATAGATATTTTTTTTACTAAAAAAATATTGATTTGAACAAATTTTGGGTGAAAAATTCGAATAGTAAAAAGTGGGGATAGGATATGACGATGACAATGGAATAGAGGTACAACATCCATTATGAGATACATTTTTACGGCTTATGAATAGTGTAGTTTGTTATACTTTTATATTTCAAGTTGACCATGTGATTATATTTATTTTGCGACTTGGATGTATATAATCAATTCTATCATTGTGTGCGCATAATCAAGCATTTGATGTTATCATGCCTAAGAAAAAAGCATTTGATGCAGTATCATACTCGATGACTTTCAGGTTGGAAGTTTTCCTATATATTGTTTTCCCATATGTTGACAGTTTTAAATAATAATGATGCTTTTAACGTGATTACAGGGTTGCAGAAGCATATGGAGGTGCTGACAAACGATGTAGAAAGATCCAATGAAATGGTGCTCACTGATCCTATTCCTCTCCATCAAGCTTTATGTTATTCTTACGAATTAGGTCTAGGCATAGTTTCTTATATTTTTAACATAAAGTCTTCTAATAAAATTATGACTGTGTAAATATTATTTTAAATCTAATTATACGGTGTTGGGTTGAAAAATTATGAACTCACCTATACAAATTATATATATCATATTACTCTACTATTAAAAAGATTCTATGTCTAATATCTTAATTGTGAAACTTGATAGTAAAATACGAGGAAACACTGTTATATTCTATGCCTATACTGGTAATAGTGTTCTTGTTCTTTGAAAATACAGCGGGATGGGAAAGATTTATCTCGACTCTTGATCCAGGAAAAAAAAATTGGAATGGTTCTCAAAGGTCTTTTTACAATATTTATATTACATTACTCTCCTGAGGAAGCATTTGGGAGTGGCTTAATTACTCTCATTGTAATATGGGTTAAATAAAGTATTGCTAAATCTAGTCATATTTTTGGAAAATTATTGTGAATATATCCTTTACTTTTTAAAATTTTTTTTATTAAATTAAAATATCATTTTTCAAAATTGATGGTATGTTTTTTTGCTCAAATAACTTAATTATATTTCTATAAGGAAACGCGGTTACATTATTGGAGTTATGTAAGTGAGGAGGGGAACTCACCGGAATAATCTATGTTCTGGGGTTTTGGTTTGCTGATGAATGCGTTGAAATGCAGGTGCATATGTTGCAGATAAAATGGAGGAGAAGGATGCGGAAATTCGGAGGATGGAACAAGAGCTACAAGAGAAGAGCTTAACGGTAGAAGAGGATCATAAAAGAGATGCCCCACCTCAAGAGGTGAACGTATCTGGAGAAGCTATTGTCAATTAATCAGCTGTCAAACTTTGAGTACTCTGTAAAAACTTGTATTTTTAAATGAAAACATTCATTTATCTCTAATCATTAACATAACTCGTTATTAACATAATATATACAATTTACTACTAATAAAAAAAATCTATAATAAGTTGTGATCTTTACACGTGAATAATATGATTTCTTTAAGGCCTCATCTTGTGGGGAAAAATATATATATAATTATGATTATAAACAAGTCGATTAATGGTCCACATGGGTGCATAATATGAGATTTTGGAAACTGACGATGGATTGAAGGCCTCAAAGATTGGAATTTTTTTTTTTTTGGTGCGGTGATTTTCAAAGTTTGCATGCTCTAGCTTCTTGTGAAATCTCTTGCAAATTATCGTGGGTATTGATGATTACTATATGATATGGGGTCTATTTAGATAGTTCATAAATAGTTTTTTAATTAGTGAAAAGAATTTTATCTCAATTTATTTTTAAACGTTTTTACAAACAGATCCATGATTTGGTTAGTTGGGAATGGGCTTACTTGGGTGCGATGCCCTGCACCGGGGGTGTATGCAGAGAGTGAAACAAGTGGAAGTGGGAGGAAGTCACACGTAGGGTGGGGCCGATGTTTCCAGAGTCCTTTTTTTTTTTTTTTTGACCAGCGATGTTTCCAGAGTCCTTTGGAACTTGGACTCCTCTCTCTCTTCCCTCTGACATAATTAATGGCCACCGCACCCTATTCGGACTTGGTCGTGTTGGGTTTATCCTCCCCCACGCACACCTGATACCACCGCGTTTAACGTCATTATAATTCACTTCAGATGTGTTTGGATAGAAACCAAACTATGGTTTCAGAAGTGCTTTTACGGATTACAAAGTAAATATATAGAGGAGATTATCTCGTTTTACAAAAAAATACTTCTGAAACCACGGTTTAGGATACCCAAACAGGCCCTTCATATATTTATTATACATGTGACTCAAACAAACATTTATTATTATCCATGCTCGTACACCTTTGCTTCTCTGGCTCTCTCACCTTTTTCCCTTTAATTTGCTCATTATTTTACTATTCTCCCTCTCTTATTCGACAACAAGTTTGGAAAAAAAATAGTAATATAGTAAACCAAAAAAAAAAGTAATATTTTTGTTCCGAAATTATCTGAGTAAATTAAATATGTTGCGGGAATTATATATAAACGTGTTATTTGCTATTTATCATGAGCATGGTATTTTTGTAAACCCCAATTAAAGTACACGTAACTACTCATTCGGGAATTTTATTTTTTCATCTACAAAATATTCGGCCCGGAGTTTGAACCATTCAATTACTGGATCGCTTTTGATATTCATAAATTAATTAACGAATCCATCCCCTAGCACGTGATGAATAAATATTTGATCCTATAATATAAGATATTCATGTCTTTCTAATCAGCGATCAGGCTGATCTCCGTTTTCTTTCCTCTAAAGACAGACAGACAAACAAACACAAGTGTTATAAAAAAAGTAATTGAAATTAATTATTTATAATTCTAAACTACGATTCATTTTTTATCATACAAATATACCTTCATAAAATAATTGATGCCAGACATTAATACGAATAATTCATAATTAATTCAGGTTATTACCGGCTAATGCGGAATACGTAATTAAGTACAGAATACTGTAGCTCTCTCTCTCTCTCTCTCTCTCTGGGTCTGAAGCTAGTAGTTTCTCTAATCGCCTGGCCTACTTATTCATGTAAACTCTCCCTTTACCCATCCTTAAATCCAGAGCTACAGGGAGCTTCCCAAGACTCTCTCCATGGCGCCTATCATCCGCAAGAACGGTGGCCTACAAGAAAAGGGCCTCTTCCATGAAAGTTCATCATCCTCCATAAAGCTCGAAGCATCAACCTTCCTCGCCAATGGCCACCCTATTCTTAACCAAGTCCCGCCAAACATCACAGCAACCCCGGCCAACGACGTTGCCAACGTCGGTTGCTTTGTTGGCTTCGACGCCGACCAGCCCACCCACCGCCACGTGGTTCCCATCGGAAAACTCAGTGGGATCAGGTTCATGAGCATTTTCAAATTCAAGTTATGGTGGAGCACCCATTGGGCCGGAACTAAGGGGAGCGATGTGGAAAACGAAACCCAAATGATGATGCTGGAGAATTGTAATCACTTGGGTCGTCCCTATGTCCTCCTCCTTCCCCTCATCGAAGGGCCCTTCAGAGCTTCTCTGCAACCTGGTCTCGACGATTACGTGGACATTTGCCTGGAGAGTGGCTCCACGCGGGTCTCTGGTTCTACCTTCAGAAGCTGTCTGTACATCCACGCGGGAGATGATCCTTATAACTTAATGAAGGAAGCCATGAAAGTGATAAGAGACCATCTGGGAACATTCAAGCTTCTGGAAGAGAAAAGCCCTCCAGGAATAGTGGAGAAGTTCGGATGGTGCACTTGGGACGCGTTTTATCTGAAGGTGGATCCAAAAGGAGTCCGGGAAGGTGTGAGAGGCCTGGCGGACGGTGGGTGCCCTCCAGGTTTCGTCATAATCGACGACGGCTGGCAAAGCTTCTGCCACGACAACGAAGCCGTCGGCGATAGCGGAAGCTTGGATTGTTCAATACCAGGAGAGCAAATGCTTAATAGGCTTACGAGTTTCGAAGAGAATAGCAAGTTTAAGGAGTACCGTAGCAGGAAGGGTCCTTCGGAGAGAGGGCTGGGGGCCCTTGTGAGAGACCTGAAGGAGGAGTTTAAGAGCTTGGGGGACGTGTATGTGTGGCACGCGTTTTGTGGATATTGGGGTGGGCTTAGGCCCAATGTGCCAGGGCTGCCGGAGGCCCGGGTGGTGGTGCCGAAGCTGTCGGAGGGAGCGGAGAAGCTGATGAGGGATCTGGCGGTGGACAAGATATTGGAAGTCGGGGTAGGATTGGTGCCGCCGGAAGATGCTCACAAATTGTATGACGGACTCCATTCTCACCTGCAGTCTGTGGGTATTGACGGCGTCAAGATTGATGTCACCCAGGTAAGTTTTCTCCAAAATTCCTCCTCCGGTTAGATTTATTATTATTATTATTTTTATTTATTAATATATGAAAATGCATTACTGTTTAATTTTAGTTGAAAGTCAAATCTATAGTTATAGCTAGTTCTAAACTTACAAGTAATCAATCAACAGTCAATTACGTAACCGGGGCAGAATAGTACTCCCGGGCCAGTTTTGAAGTTTATGATGGAAGTTAATGGCTAATTACGAAATTATTAGATAATTCAAAATAATCGAGTTGTATTCCCCCCCCCCTCACTTTATCTCTCGATTTTTGTTAAAATAAATGTTGTTGGCGGTGGAAGATGGATAATTTTATTTCTGACGTACATTTTAAGGAGGCTTTTGGATTGTGCCTGTGGAATGTGTATGCAGAGAGCCAGAGACCAAGGACGACGTCAGATTGAGCGGGTGAAGAGTGAGCTAAATAAATCATAATTAGCGTGTAAGGGAATTTTTTTTCACAAGGATAACAATATTAAACAATTGAAGATCTAAGGATAAACACTAGGTTTAACAATGCACAGTGACGTGAGATAGAGCGAGAGGGGAGGGTAAAAATATACCCTGCACACAGCGGTCAATGATTCTTTATTATAACTTTAACTTCCAACGAATACCCTGGCAGTATAACTATACTGCAATTCCAAGTAATTTGATTTTGATCCAAAGCTGGTTTCTTATCACTTGTCATTCTCAAGTGCCTCGTCGAGAGTGATTAAAAATAAAAATTCGGCTACTTCATATGGGGTAGATCATAGATGAAATGGGATTATATATGAGTGTTTTATTTTTCCTTAAATGTAGTAACGAAGCAGAAACCACAAATTAAAGTATTCAAACAGTAACCATCCTTGCAAGGGAATTGAAGAATGATTCAGTGGTTCACTTATGGGCATAAGTGAACAAGAATCGAGGAAAAAAAAGTTTAGAAAAACGGAAGCATAATGATTCTTCTGATCCTTGTTGGTCATATGCCAATCTCATCGATGTATCATAGCTCTGCTAATTTAGCTTTGATTGTTGATGATGCGGCAGATTCTGGAGATGCTATCAGAGGAATATGGGGGTCGCGTAGAACTCTCCAAAGCTTATTACAAAGCCCTCTCTGATTCAGTGAAGAAGCACTTCAAAGGCAACGGCGTCATCTCCAGCATGCAGCAATGCAACGACTTCATGTTCCTTGGCACCCAAACCATCTCTCTCGGCCGAGTCGGTACGTCCTTCCCAACGACCTCAACTCGCCATTCCCTATCTCTTTTCAACCCAACATTAAAATCGAGCTACCCCATTGTGTTTGCAGGTGATGATTTTTGGTGCACCGACCCTGCGGGAGATCCAAACGGCACGTTCTGGCTTCAAGGATGTCACATGGTGCACTGTGCCTATAACAGCTTGTGGATGGGAAATTTCATCCGCCCTGATTGGGACATGTTCCAGTCCGATCACCCTTGTGCTGAATTCCATGCCGCTTCACGAGCCATCTCCGGCGGTCCTGTTTATGTCAGCGACTCTGTTGGCAGACACAACTTCAAGCTCCTCCACAAGCTCGTCCTCCCTGACGGCTCCATTCTCCGGTGCCAACACTACGCCCTCCCCACTAGAGACTGCTTGTTTCAGGACCCTCTTCATGATGGAAAAACCATGCTCAAAATCTGGAACCTCAACAAAGTAAGCACATTTACATCTCCATGCATTATAACTCTCTCTGTTTTCAGTGTAAATCTTGCATTAATACTTGGTTTTTTGGGTTCTGTGATCACAGTATACTGGGGTTTTGGGGGCGTTTAATTGCCAAGGAGGAGGATGGTGCCGTGTTACTAGGAGGAACAGAAGCGCGAGCGAGTGTTCAAAGAGGGTGAGTTGCTTTGCGAGTCCTGAGGAGGTTGAATGGAGCAAGGGGATGAGTCCGATATGCGTAACAGAGGAGGATGTGTTTGCTGTGTACATGATTAAGGACCACAGCTTGAAGCTGTTGAAGTGGTGGGAAAGTGTGGAGATTTCCCTCGATCCCTTCAATTATGAGCTCTTGACAGTTTCTCCGGTGACGGTGTTGCCGAAGGGGTCAATCCATTTCGCTCCGATTGGGTTGGTGAATATGCTAAACTCGGGCGGGGCAATTCAGAGTATGGAGTTTGGAAAGCAGGGGAATGAGGTGAGAATTGGAGTGAGAGGACAGGGAGAGATGAGGGTGTTTGCTTCAGAGAAGCCTGTGAGCTGTAAAGTTGATGGAGTGGCTGTTGAATTTGGTTATGAGGACAACATGGCACGCGTTCATGTTCCCTGGACTGCTTCTTCAACGTTGTCCACGGTGGAGTACTTGTTCTGAGTCAAAGCTAGCTAGCTTTGGTGGCTTCTTTTCCTCAACGATTTCAAAAATAAGAATTCATTGGCAAATACTGATGACATGCCTTGGTTGGGTAAGCGTCAACGAATTTTAGGAGTTTAGATAGTCAAACGAAAGATTATTAATAAGTTAGATTTCAAACATGATGCCTGTTTTGGGATTTGTTTAGCAAAATTTAGTTATACTTTCCTTCTCGCTATGGTTAAGGTTACTTGGGAATTAGAAGTTGTAGTCGTGAGTTTCCTGACTATAAATTCAATTTATGCTGTGCATCTGGTCAAGTCTTTGGTGAGTTGTGCTTATTCAGGCATCCTAGGCTCGCTTCCATGATAACTATCTTGCTAGAGATTAGTATTTAGGCCTTGATCCTTACCTTCCTTTGTCCTTTATGCTTGCTCATCTCGACCACTTCTACCCTTTCTTTTGTGCTGACTTGTTTGGTTTGTACGGCGTTGAGTTCTGCTCTCCAACGAGTTAACGTTGTATCACGGGTTCATATTAGTAATGTCACCTCATAAAATCTACTAATACCTAATCTGTGATATACGTTGACTTTGCGCTAAAATGTGGTTTTAAAAGAAGCAACCTTTAAGTTGCGTTTGGCAGAAACACGTACGACTTCAAGTCTTTAACCCATCCAACATAATTGTGAACATGCTCCTCGTTGAATGGGTTTTTGGTCATCACCTTAACAGGATTTATTCATATCTAACTTTTTTTTTTTTTTTACTATGCAAGCACCACGCTGCATATATAAAGGAAAAGAAACGTACGAGAAAGTTTCTTAAGATCCTTTTACTAAATGAAAGGAATGCCTCTAAGCACAGTTCTGCACTTTCCAACCATTTTACTTTCGTTACGTATCTAAATTTACAGTGAATGTGAAGTTAGGTGAATGTATGACTTCCATAGATACATTTAATTAAGATATAAAATCCTCTAACATATTCCGAGTTTCAACACATGTTCATTGCAAAATTAAATAAGTATTATCCGGAGGGGTAATAAAACAGAAGCATTGACAAATTTAAACCCACAAATTAAAAATGAAGGCCAGTACATTCATGGTTTTCACAATTACACACTTTATAAATGTCCTTATCTCACCACCGTTTACCGGCGAAGGGAAGACCGACAAAACTTTTGCCTCCAAATTCATGTTCTGATACCTAACCCAAATACAAGAAGTTATAGGCCTTCCTTTTTTTTTTTTTTAATTTTATTTTACAATTAATTATATATTTATTATTTTTTTTTTTTTTTTTGGGCAACCATCATATACTTGTTAGTTGTTAGGAAGGAAGCGGTTTTTTCAACTTAGATTTATGGTAGATATTTTTTCGTTTTAACTCGTCACCCATCTGTTTCTCATTATGCCTTTTAATTTCGTAACATAGTTTAATACCATCTCTTGTACTTTCGCTTTTAATTATAAGACTGATTTGATTTGTAGATTATAAATAAAGTCTTATAATTAGGATTGGAGGTAATATAAAACTTAGTTCTTTGAAGTTTAAGCATAATCATGTAAGAAGGAGCACAGAGGTCCTTCACTTGAGTACAAGTCCCGTCTCTCAGAGACTTTACTCTGTTTCAGTGGCCTGGTTGCTTGGTGCTCTGTTTTCTCCGGTGGTGATGGCGAATCTGAAGACTATATTATCTGGGAAGCACTTGTTTGGCGCTGTCGTGGCTTTGAATGCGAGTTTGGTGCTGAGAATGGGGTATGATCGTGGAAACAAAGAAGGGTCTTGTTTGAAGAGACAGAGCACGAGGTTGATTCTGACACTGATAAACGTGTTAACGTAACTCTAGATCTGCACGTTTGGCCGTACCTTCCTATTCTAGTCGCACCAATCATCCCCAAGACAGGGACAGAGTCATCAATCTTGACTAGTAAGTGCTACCTTCAACCATTCTTGTTTCCATACTTTCAACTCTGTTCTCTGCTTTCTAAGTTAGTGTTATTAATGTCACTTGTTTCAATTTCAAGGCCATGAAGGCTGGCAGGGACTTGATTATCGTCTTATATTTTTTTGTTTCCTTGGGGAAGAAACATTAAATCCGATCACAGTAGTTTTTTTCCGAGATTTACTCCAAGAGCGTCGGAGTTTCTGAAAACGACACAGATCAATCTTTCCAAGATGTTACTACACTATTTTTTTTTCTCTTTTGCTTTGGTTTCTTCATGCATGTCGGGTCTTTGTTCAAATGATTCCTTGATTTACTTTTAGCAGTCTAAACAAA